ACTCTTTCCTCATGCTTGACCTTCCTGTCGGGTCAAACCAGGGGCTTAAAACACGATGTGATGATCGGAAAATAGGGACTTGGCGTAAGCTCAACTAAACAGAAGTCAGAAATAACACAGGCGTTCACCTGAAGACTACAAATCATTCGGTTTAGTACTCCGTTATAATCTCTATGCGGTGGAGCCCTGTTGCAGAGTCTGCACCTGCTGTGCCAGATGAAGAAAGATCACCTTTGCTCTTGGTTTGTCACCTCTGCTCCTTCCCTCCACTCTCAGCACCAGGCTGCTCAGCACCAGAGCTCTGTCTCCACAGACGCCATAAAATTGTATTTTTTCCTGTTAAATCACCGAAACTACAGTGAGTTTAATCTGTTTTATTTTTGTTTGTTTGTTTTTTTTTAGCCAAATATTGAATTAGCAAGTAGCACATTAACAAAGAATGTGTTTTATTCACTAAATATGTAGTTTCATGCCAGCATTTCTAACATGGACGACTGGCTGCGGCAGTGTTCATTATGAGTTAAATGAAATTTTACTTTTAGATTTATTTGCTTATGATGAAAGTGCATTGCTTAATGGAGCTGCAATTGTGTCTCCTCAATAATTTCTACTGATTAGAAATAATTTTTCATTATCGACTTAAATGTGCTTATATGGTTCCAACTCATGATTCATAAAGCCTAACACCTGAACTCTAATTATTTTCTTTTAATAAAAACAAAACAAAACAGAAGTTAATAATAACATGTTTCTCTTTGACGTTTTTGGAAAGAGAACAGGAAACAGGCGCAGCCTTCACGCGTGGGTAAACATGGAGCTAGACAAACGGGCGCCTCGTGTGTGGAGTCCCCCAAGGATCCCTTCCTGGTTTCAAAGTTTTTATGCTTCATTTTGGTTCCCTTCATGAACCTTCACTCCCTTTTGTTTTTGCACAAAGTTATTACAAAAAAAAAAAAAAAACTGAGCAAAAGTTTCTGAAAAGGCATACTGGACTTTCTGCAATGAAATACATTTATAGATACCCAAATTACTTTCCCCCACATAAATCTGTAAAGTTTATCAATGACTCTTTTTCAGAACTTCATGTTTTGTGGTGACTAGTGCTCGCCGAAAAACGACAAAACAGAGCATTTTTGAGCAAGTAATGCAGATGTTTCAGCTGAGAATTTTTCCTGAAGTAAAATCTTCTTTTTTTTTTATCTGTACATGATCACAGCATTTCATTTGAGCATCAGCCTTCCTCTGGTCTATGATGGTGTAAGATTCACATTTTTGCCTCTGCTCAGAATCATTCGCCCGAAACCTTTGGCTCAGTGTGATCTGCCATTTCACGCTTTCTTTATGAATCTATGATGTTGCTGATGTTTAGCCCCTCATCTTGCTCCTTCCCTCCATCATCCAAACACACACACACGCACACACACACTATCAGTTAATGCGAATATATGACGAGGCAATGAAAGCTGTGTAACGATGCCACCTGACAGCCCATTAAACCGGAGAAGGATGAGGATACAATTAGATTGTCATCCACTCTAGAGTTACAGCCGACATACCAGATGGATGGAAGTGAGGTGTGGGGGGGGGGGGGGGGGAAAATAAAAAATAAAATAAAAGATGGGGGTTCTTGTCTCTGGAAAAAGGCAAGATTTTTCCTGGTGAGCGGGACGAGTTGTTGACAGGAGCTCAGATGATGGAGGGATGGTGATTATTGGCTGTGATCAGCCGCGTCGTGATGCTCGGCTGCTGAGCTTAAAGGACGAGAAACCGGGCGAGGTTTTTCCTCTGGGTGAAATAAAATCCCTCCTCATCCTCTTGTCACTTCTTCCTTTGAAAAGACCAGACTTCACTTTGAATGGAGCGACAGATTTACAGCTCAGCCGCTGTGGTAATTCAGTCAGAGAGCGCAAATAAATGTTTAAGAGCAGCAGCGGTGGCAACACGTCAGGTTCCTTGAAAGCCTCGGCGGCTGAGGAGAAAAGGATGAGATGAATAATGAGGAAAGAAATACAAAAAGATTAGTTTTAGACTTACTGTGAAGCTGCAGACAGGGGTCAAAAGGCCAAAGTCTGTCACACAGCGACAGAAATTCTTTAAAAGCGGCTAACGTTCCATGAAGTAACTGGTTCAGTCGTTTATATGTCTTTATTTTTGCAAAAATGTCATATCCATTGTGCTTTTTTTTCACACATCTTGTAAGTACTGCATATGGTGGAGTGAGCATTTTATTTGCAGTTTATCGATGCTGCTCAGAGTATAAAGATTGGTTGATTACGTTAGAAAAATCTTTGTATTTTAACAAGTTTCCATGTCATGGTGGGAACAATTCACAGAACCCCCCTGTGTGTGTTTTTAGGTGTGATGCACCTTGTAGTGACACGTTTCGGCCAGCAGGAGGTGTGATGCTCCTTTCACGAAGCCGACTGATTCAGTTCAGTGGGTTCTAGACTGCGGTGGGCTTATTAACTCTCTCTGTGGGGTCTTACTCTAAACTGGGAATATTTAAATGTCTGTTTTTTGGTTTGAATCCTTCTTATCAAATAAGTTCAAATTAGGCTGTTTTCTCCTATGACGAAAACAAACAAACAAAAAATATGTATCCAGAACTGGTATTAAAACATTGAAAAAGGAAGAAATATTAAATTTTTAAGTCAACATTCTGTGATCAAAACAACTAAACTGAAATGTTAAAGTTGCATGTTATTTTTTTTCTTAAAAGTTTTGACGGATAAAAATCAAAGGATGATCTTTCCTCTGGATAATCACGTGAAGTTGGAAATGAAAAACAACAACAACGTACTAGTTTTGCACTGGTTTCAATCCAGCAAATCAATGGTTAATCTCAGGGCTGCTGCAGATCACAATAGTTTCTTCTCAGTGAAGAAGATTGTTGATGAAATTCTTGGAGAAAACTAAAAAAAAAGAAACCTAAAAAACTTTTAATGTTTATTTGAAAATTTGAATAATCATGAATGAGAACAAAAAAATAGAGTCTGAGAGATCATGGATCAAACAAAGTTGTATCCGGTTCCGGTTGGGACCTTAACCCGTCGGAGAACGAAGGTGAGATTCGTGTTAATGTTGGTCGCATTGATCCGCATCCGAATCTCTTAAGAGCTCGCAGGTGATAATTCAGACTGAAGAGCAGACGCTCGGTCACGAGCAGCTCCACCGTCTCACTGTCACCTTAAGAAACACGGAACCAAGAGCAGAAAAATGCCTTTGAACAAGAGAACCTGCATGCACAAATTCTAGTTCAAGTACAAGAAACATTTGGGTTTGCTCCAGGAAAGGAAAGTTCCACCAATCACAATGTCAATCTTTTTTTATTTACTCTTCCTCATCATCTCAGTTTTAAAATGAAACTGGGGAGAGAAAAGTGTTGAAGATCCAGAAGCGCTGTCCATCATCATCATCATCTGACCGGACCGCGGGGATTTCTCTCAGCATTTCTCACCACACGTAGTCAAACAATTAAAAGACATTTCTGAGTCTCATTCGGTCGCAAGAAATATCCTTTAATTGTAAGGCCAGGTGCAGCACTTCTCCTCCTCTCTCTCTCTCTGACTCTCTCTGTCCCTCCACGCTGCTCGGTAGCAGTGCCGCACCGACAGCTGCTCCGCACCTGTAAAGGACATTACGGGACATGTCAGTCACGTCACAAACATACAATCGGGAAGAGACTCGACTCTGCAGAAAGTGTGTGCGTGCGTGTGCGTGTGTGTGTGTGTGTGACCCTTCAGGGTTTGACCACAGCGACCTGTTGGGAACACCTCTTCCTCCTGCTCCTCCTCTTCCTCCACCGTCGCGGTTGTTCTCATCCATCGAGACGGTTTCACGCACAGAAACGCCAAAGAGCGAACACGCTTCCTGGTATTCTGACTGATGAGAAGAGGAAGAAGAAGAAGAAAAAAGATCGTGTCATTTGTAGAATGAATAAATGAATGAATCCTAAGGACAAAAAAAAAAAAAAAAAAAAAAAGACAAAAATGGTTTGATTCGGTGCGTTCGCGGACGCGTAACTGAGAACCTCTCCAAGGTGCTGAAATGGAAGCGCAGCTTCACGCAGATGTTACGGAGGAGAAAAGCGCTCACTGCAATTCCGGTGTGTGTGTGTGTGTGTGTGGGGGGGGGGGGGGGGGGGGGGGGGGGGGGGGGGGGGGGGGGGGGGGGGGGGGGGGGGGGGGGGGGGGGGGGGGGGGGGGGGGGGGGGGGGGGGGGGGGGGGGGGGGGGGGGGGGGGGGGGGGGGGGGGGGGGGGGGTGGGGGGGGGGGGGGGGGGGGGGGGGGGGGGGGGGGGGGGGGGGGGGGGAGTGGGTGGGTGGATGGAGAGGGGGCGAAGGGAGAAGCCGACAGCTTCCCGGTCTTTCCTTCCACCTTCATGTGACGGGACGGACGGAGTCGAGAGATCAGGTCTCGAACATTTACGCACAAGCATGAGAGTCACAAAGAGCACAGGCGAGCGCGTACCTGCGTAAATCCAACACGCTACACTTTCTTGTTTGCGCAAAATGTCACCCCAATTTTCTCCCAAGAAGCGACTAATACTTAAAAGTACTGTCAGGTTCTGGGTGGCTTTTTTTTTTTTTTTTTTTAAGAAAGTCTCGGCGCGGTTTCTTCTGCCCCCGAATGAACACCCGAAACCTTACCGAGAGAGCGAGCATCACCCCGGGGGCGACAGAACCTCTGCGCCTCCTCCGCGCCGCGCCGCGCTGCGCTCCGGCTCCCATCCATTCCATCCCTCTATCCCTCCATCCCGCCATCTCCATCTCCATCCCGCGCCTCTCTTTTCTCCGCTCCGGCTTCCAGCACCGGAGATAGATGCTCTGCAGTCACGTGGGTCGGAGGAGAGGAAAGAGAAGTGATGGAGAGAGAGGAACCAGGGAGGGAGGGAGAGACGGAATGAGAGAGAGAGAAAGAGAGAGAGAGAGAGACAGACACAGAGAGAGAGAGAGAGAGAGAGAGAGAGAATGTCCCTCCTCCTGCTCCTCCGCAGTTTGCAGTGTGTGATGTCTCAGACTCGGAGGTAGAGAGTCAGAGCTGCTCGTCCGGCGGATCTTCACCTCTGAAACAAACCCCTGGTGTCTCCTGTCATCCTCCCCCCTCTTCCCCTCTCACCTCCCCGGCTTTGCTCCTCTCTGGAGCCCCTGGAAGCTTCTCCCTGTTTTCTTTCTTCTCATTCTTCTTCTTCTTCGTCTTCTTCTCTCTAATCTCCTTCTTCAGCTCGACTTTGACCAACACTTTCTTCTGTGGGATTTAGTTTTCTGCTCATCACTCTCCACCAACACTCTCCGCCGCCGCTCCCGTTCAGGATTTGCTCGCCAGTGAGAAGAAGAACCCCAAGAATCGGCGAGGTGGATCCGTGGATGCGCCTCTGGGGCTCGAACTGGAGATGGAAATGCTGATACTGTTATTTCATTCCTTGTGGATATTGCAGTGCAACACAGCGAGCGCCGACTCCATCATCCACATCGGTAAGAGAGCAGCGGGGCTTTATTTTTGGCGATCAGCTGTGCGGCTTTTGGCTGGAGTGGGATCTGGGGAACGTGGAGTGGTTTGTGCTGTCGGGGCTGCGGGTGCAGACGCTCGTTTCCAAACATCTCCGCATTGTGAAGATAATAATGAAAGAATATGTACTTACTCTGGTAGCTGACTATCCTTCTGAGCCAGGATAACTGTGCAGAGGAAGAAAGGAAGGAGACTGTTGCATTCTGGCTCAGACGCACGCAGAGTGGAGGCTGATGGAGAGCCTCCACTCTGCCATCCATCCATCCATCCATCCATCCATCCATCCATCCATCCATCCATCCATCCATCCATCCATCCATCCATCCATCCATCCATCCATCCATCCATCCACACCTCCCTTTACTCTCCATATCCATCTCTCCCACTCCTCCCCCTCATCTATAAGCGTGAACTTTCAGTTGGACGTGAGTGAAATGTTAATCAACTCCGGCGGAGGAAGTGATGACAGAGGGGGACAAACGGCGACTGTTCGGGCTTTTCAGGCGTCCAAGCGCCGGCCTCCCTTTCTATCACGGTTTCCTGCTGCTTCGGTCCAGACACGGTTTCACTGAGGACAGAAAAAAGAAAGAAAGAAAGAAAGAAAGAAAATGGTGAGAGGAAGCAGTGGACCTGGGATGGATGGAACGGAAGTCGCACACAGGCAGAGATGATCCAGATCCACCCTGGTGTCCTGCAGCCAGAGCTTTGTGCCGGTGGCAGCATTGCGGTGGGCCGTGAGTGCTGAAGCCAGCAGAGGGGAAGAGGAAGAGGAAGAGGAAGGCTGCAGAGTCATTCTGCAGAAGGATACGGGCCCCCTCATGAAACAAACCATGAGGGAAGAACAATCAGTCTATGACGTCAAACCTGGTGTTGCATGTTTTGGGTGGCGATGAAGTGAACACGTGCCGGCCTGAGGGATAAGCACAGTTTGCGGCTGCTAAAGGCCGATTCCTAGCAGGGTGAGACTGAGGTTGAGCTGTAGTTTAACTGTCTGCATTTTAAAACTTGAACTGTTTTCATAGCTAAGATGCTGCGATTTAACTATTTGAGAGAGAGGAAAGGCAATTTTCCACGAGGCTAACACTGGCTCCACATCTGTCATTAGAATGAGATGAAATCTTCTCTCCGTCCGTCTATCAGACCCTCCATCCATCTGTCTGTCCATCCATTGACCCTGTCAGCCCCCTCCTGCCCATTCTGGGTGGATCATATCTGGAAAATTTCCAAACCGAGGCCTTCAGTGAGGCTCTCTAATCACCCCGGTTTACTCCTTTGGCTGCGTGGGAGCATCAATCCTCTGAGCTTTACCATGCTGTGGAGGATGCTGCTTATGTGAAGCATCGCTTTTGTTTTGGCTGCACCCAAGAAATAGCTTTTTGCTTGTTTGTTTGTTTTTAAGGTAGACTTTTAAATGCAATCACCTTAATGCGTTTTTATCCTCCAACATATCTGTTAAAGTTGAGGTAAATGGCTAAAAGCAGAATTAAGTGGCCTGAATTGACCAAAACAGATGAACAGATGAACAACTCTCCCATCTAAACAGTTTAACATTTCCTAAGACACTAAAAATTACCAACATTGCTTTCTTTTTTCTTGTTGGCCGGATCCGTCCCTGTGTGGAAGTAGAAGTCCGGGGACATGCTTGGATGTATGCATGTACAGATGGGAGGATATCAGTATCCCTCCGGGACGAATCAGCATTCAGTGAGAACAACACAGAACAGTGATGTGGGATTATTACAAACACAGATCAGTAAATACGACGGATCAGCAGCCTGACCCCCGTATGCTGCTCTGTTGATGATTCACGTAGCGCGAGAGAGATTTAAGGCCTGCTACTGATACATTTGAGTTGTTAAGATGGAAAACTCTGTAAACATCGGGAGCGGGAACTGAAACCCAAACAAGAGGTCCGATGTGGGATGTTTCCACCCGTTCGGACTGGGCGGGAGGATTCAGCTCCTTCAGACTAGACAGCAGCAATTAGCAAACATCTGGTGAACCCATGGTAGAAGCTACTTCTCAATGGGACGTTGGTAAAACAAACAAACAAACAAAAGAAAATTTTTAAAGGGTTGATAGAGGAGCACTGCCGAGTGTTGGATGGAGCAGGACTTTGTTAAAGAGCCAGAGGCCTGATTTCAAGGCATTAACTTACAAAAGTCACGTTTCTTTTAAACCATATTTGTTTTATCTCAAGTGAAGGTAACACAGTCGCTTGGTACAATGTGACTAGAAAAAGAAAACACATAATACTGTCCCTTTTAAATTGAATTCTGCTTATATCTGTTTTGTCTACAATTTATCACATGAGTGCTTTCACTTTATTCGCACCTACAAGCATTATAGATGCTGCATGTCAGGAATTGAAGTCTTAGATTGTGATTGGTGTTACTTCTCCAGTTTGGCTGGTTGCTGCAGCTGCAGTATGACTCGTGTCAGTCACTGCGATTATCCAGTTTTCTGGTTAATTGAGACGTCCTCTTCCGGGTCATTTCACAGATTCCGTCGGCCTACGAGGAAGGTGAATTCATTTTCCACATTAAGGACGATGGTTGTGTGGTCACAGCTCTCGTCCTCGGAGCAGAGCAGCAGCGGTTGCTCGGCTGCGTTCAGGGGTCGGAGGGGTTTTGGGTAGGAGGGGTGGGGGCTCTGCTGTTTCCTTCAGCCTCCTGACAGCCGGATCGACTTGGCAACGCGGCGCAGCAGGACCCATATCAGATGTGACAGTTTTTCAGCCTCTGCTCTGAACCCCCCCCCCCACCCCCTCTCCTCCCCTCCTGCTCCAGCATCTGTCTCGTCCGGCCGCGCTGGTGATCATCTGTGACGTTTCCCGGGTTTGTTTGTCCCCTCGCCTCAGCGGCAGGCGGGGAGGTCAGCAGTGAGGGGCCGGTTGGTAAAAGAGCTGATGCGCAATAAAATAAATAAATAAATGTGGGATCCGGGCCTTCAGTCAGCCGAACCCTTGACCACTCGGTCTGCTGCTGCGTTCAAGTGCAGCACCGGCGCAAAACCCCGGCAGAGTCAAGGTCCAGGAATCTGCAGAATCATATCTGTGCAGATCCCAGCAGCAGCAGCAGCTGCTTTCTCTAATTAGTTACACTGTCTGTTCTTTGGTTCAACGTGCGTAAAAACAGCAAAAACAGCTGCTGTGCTTTTCTTTTCTTTTCTTTTTTTTTTTTTTTTTAATTTGTGCCTTGAAAGAAAAGCGTCAGTCGAGGAACATCAGAGAGAGGCAAACCGGAGCCAATCGGCTCCCAGTTAATTTCTGCCTTTAATTAGACCTCAGAGATCAAGCCGTCAGCCACAGGTACGTCCAGGACACCAGGGGCCCCCCGATGGGTTTCGGGAGAACATCTTCTTCCAAAGAGGCAGCAGCGGAAGTGATTATGGGGAGCAGACGCACAGCTGGATGTCAGACCTGAACAGACAACCCCAGATGGAGAAAACAAGCTGTGTGCTGCGTGTTATGCACACAAAAAATATATATAAATGTATAAAAAAGATCTTTTTGTTTCAGAGCACCGTGCAGGAGCTCCCCAGCAGTTCGGAAAATACCTTCCTTTTTTTTTTTTTTTTTTTTTTTAAAGTACTTTGCGTCACTGAAAACACACAAGGAAAGCTTTGATAAAGCAACTCAAAGATTTAAAAAAAATCTGCAGAATACCTTGATTCCCAGCACGTCCTTGACTTATTGAGGGCAACGGCATTTGTCTTGGTGTCACTGGTGTTTATGTCCAATTTAAAGGACTGAACCGCATCTGATTCAAAGAAACCCCCCCATTCCCCCACACACAAACATAAAAGCGGCTAAAACGTGTAAATTAGAAATATTTAGCAGTAGAAGCACTCAATTAATGACATCAAACTGGGAAAAAAATTAATGAATTTATTGTAGCCAAACTGAAAAAACATGAACAAATGTTGTAACTCTACATTTGTAGCTTATACTCTGTCCTTGTTGATATTTGTAGGCGCCACATAAACAATTAAAACATAAAGCAACATATGTTGTTTTTCTTTTTTTGTGCTGGAGTTAGTTCTGTGACTCACAGTTGCTGCTCTGCTATTTAAAAGAACAAAAGCCTCTGGAATTGCATGTAGTTTAAGTTTATTATGAGGGGCTTTTTGATTGGCTGTTGAATAATTGGCTTAATTAAAGCCAGCTTTTTTGATCTTTACATCATATTATAATGTTATTGTTTCATCAAAACATGGAGTGTTGCATTGATTCTTTTATGCATGGCTGAAAAATCTTTTAATCTCCTGTGGCAACCATTCAGCTGTGCAAAACACTTGATTGGACCTATTATTTGGGTGCTTAATGCCACCTTCAAGGCGTAGTTTCCAAGCTCCTGAGCTTCTGCCTCACAGAGCAGCCCAACTCCATGTCACTGCTCCTTCAAACTAGCTAGCAGCAATTAGCAAGCGCCTGGCTGAACTGCGCATCTGCTGTACAGGAACCACTTCTCAGTGAAACGCTGGTTATTAGAAGAGCCATGTTGAGACGACATAAAGGCGAAGTTTCAGAGAGTGAAGCAGCTTTTAAAGAGACAGAGACCTAATTTTATGCCATTAAATGACAAAGCCAAAAATCTTTTATTTCAGCTGTGGCATTTTTAAAACTGAAAGTAAAATAGTTAATTGATTGTGCTGTAAAATGGCACAATGTGGCAAGAAAATACATAATACTGCCTCTTTAAAAAGGTTGAAAAGCATTTTCTGTGCAGATTTCTGGCACCCTGAGAGTCTTTTGAATGTTACTTTCTGTTTATTTTTCAAATCTGTTTTTGTGTTTCCTCTTATTAAGTCCAGTAAAAGCATAAACATAGTCGCTGGATTCAAAGACCTCTCGTTGTTTTTTTTTTTGAAGAAATGTGTCTTGTACGAAAGAGCTTAAAGGAGCTAGACTAGTGCCCCACTTACAATACTGCTTATGTTGTGATTATTTTCACTGGATTAACCA